CCGTTCAACTTCTAGGTAACACAACACATTTACAGCATATTTTATTGTTGTTAGTTGTGAAGTCGTATCCAACCCATCGCGACCCCATGGACAACATTCCTCCAGGCCTTCCTGTCCTCCACCATCCCCACTGACTGCTTCAGTGACTCCATCCAGCCACCTCACTCTCTGCCGTCCCCTTCTTTCGCCATCTATTGTTCCCAGCATTAGGCTATAGAGCAACCCTAAAGCAGGGTGGGTAAAAATCAAGGATCATTTAAATCAGATTTTTCTAATTTAAATTGATTTTTTTTAAATAAAATGCTTTTCCAGGAAAAAAAAATCTATCTAAAGATAGTTCTCTATTTAAGATACATTATAGTACAAAGGTTAATCATCATGAAATAAGGATTTGTTTTTAATTATGCAGCATGAGGCTGTATGTCCATGCAAATGTTTCCTCTTTTTTGAAATGAATTCCATTAATCAATTCACAATGCCATGCTCTTCCAGAGACTTCTGTAACATGGTTGGGCAATTTTCTATTATCACACATGCTTGCTTGTACAGTTCTTAAAACTGTGGATTTGTGTCTGCAAAGATCACATGCCTCTTTTTCACAGCAAAAAGCTTTTAAAATCAACAGAGTTGGAAAAAAGACCTTAATCCCATTGTTCCTTTGCAAATCTACATACAAAGAATCAGCCCTAAACCTCTTAAGTGCTAAGTTAAAAAAAATATCAATGAATAGAAGATAGCTGGGTCTGGAATAGATCTGCACAAGAAGCTAAGTGTGAAGAGGAAGGATCAAGCAGTAGAAATGAAAGTGAACCCTTCCGGAGCAGAATACTCCACAAGTCTGTGGATTTTTTTTGTGCATAGCCTGAAGTTTATCATATTATTCTTTCCCTGGAGTAGAAAACCTATAATGGCCATAGGCCATAAAAGAGGCCCAGTCTAGGAATATTTTAATAAAGTTCCTCTACCTACGAATAAGGCAGGCATGGGCGCAAAACCATGATTTAAATCGATTTGATTTAAATCAAATCCACTCTGGGTTAAACCACTTCAAAATGTTGAGTTATCCCACCCATTCTGAAAATGCATTTATTTAGACACAAACTCCATTAATTTCAACTGAAAGTATGCAAGAAAAGCAGTTAAGACTTCACTGTTCTTGTTCTCCTCCTCCCAGACCTCCTCCTCATGGCCACAGCATCTTTAGATGCATACCTAAAATACTTAGAAAATGCTAGCATTTGCTTATTGCAGTGTTATAGCCAATTATGATGCCTCCCATCTTGACTACCATTTTCTGCATCACTTTTCTTGGTCTCTGATCCATACTGCTACCCAAAGTCATGAAAAATTCAGAAGTGATTTAATTCAGGGCGTCACAACTCCACTCCTCAAACCCACTGGCCTTCCCAAGGACCAGGTTCTTTAATGCTGCCTGAAACTCAGCATAGTTGAGGTACATGGTGGTACTACTCACTCAAGTTTTCCCACTGGCCAACCACCCCCTGCAGAAATACTGCTCATTCGTTACTCCTCCTTCAACTTTTGATTCAGTTCTATAATATTCAGTCATGCTCCTGACTTGTTTTTATTGTATGTTGCCTTTGACCCATGAATTCCCACTTGACAATATTTACTCCTGCAATTAAACTACCACCACCCCGATCCCCAGTTTCGTAAGTATCCACAAAGTACAGTCTACTAGAGACCTAGACAGTCATAATAGCATCTAACACTTCACTAGGAGAGCAAGCATTATCTTAGCATCCCCAACTTGACAAAATGAAAACTGACTGGTTTACAGAATAAGCAAGCTGCAAGAACCAAAGCTAGCAAGACCAATCACAGCATAGAATTAATTGTAAAAGCCTTACTGATGGCTTGGAAAGAAATATGCTGTTCCTCTGCTTCCCAAGATCCCTCAGTGGCAAAACCATTTTACACTCCAGTATCTAAAGTACACAGGGAATTACCCGATACGGTCACTCAAGCTAACCATATTTGCTTTATCAGGAGGTACATTAAGAGATATTGATGTTGATACTAAACACACGAGTAATTACAGCTATAAGGGGTTTGCACTAAGTATCCAGAGATTGAGATCTGGATGAACTGAGCTGAAACATGCTCTCTTAAATGACACGGTTCCAGAGTAGAAACAACAGGCTGGGGGGGGGGGCTTCCCCAGTCACACAGATCAATGAAAAATGGAGACAGCTGTGTGGAGCACAAGCCGGTATACTGTCAAAACCAGCAGCAGGGTGGAAAACACCTTCAACTCTCTCCACTACAATAACCCAAAGTAAAGGTAGGAATTTAAGTTTAGGGTTGACCTCAACCTTCCCAGGCCTCCTGCCCGCACCTACATGCAAGAAATCTTACAAGAGATTTGTACCACCAAGCACCTGCAGTGAAACAATTTCTTGCTATATCAAGATGTCCCAGCAAAAGGACTTTTTTAAGGGAAGACACCAGATCTTTCCTCTCTTTCCCATTTGTACTCTAATTACCCTTATGCCTACCAATCCCATTGCAGCAACTTTGAAAGTGCACTAATTGAACACTACACACACCGCCTTCCCACATTATCTTGGTTCCACCGTTTGTGTCTTCCTATTTAGGAATGCATGGCTTTTTATGACCGAAAATGGAAGAGCCGACTATGACACATTCTATGTAAAAAAAAAAAAAAAATCACATAAAAATTAAGTCTAGATGTTCCTTCACTATGATGGGGAGGAGCAATCATTCAGTATGGAGAAAGAAAAATACTTAAGAACCCATTTTTTCTGAACAAGAGCAGCAACCATGCACACAAAAGAGAAAGGAGGTGGATTTTTACTGAACTAGAAAGATTAATTTTCCCCTAGACAGAATCAATTATGTTTTTAGAACCATCTACAACTTTCAACTTAAGGACTCTTCCATCTAAAACAGTTAAATTCTACTTTCAAAATTCTAGTGAATGGATCCCTTATTGTCTAGTTTAACAGTTTAAGGATCCATTTTAGTAGCCATCCAAACTCATCCAAAGGGAACCTTTATGTGGGGAAGGGAGGGGGTCCGGCTGCTAATACTACTGTTAAAAAAGCAACTGCCCAATGGGTGAAAGTTTGCATTTAATAGCACCATCTTAGCGATACCACCTGACAGAGAACTGTTCCTTGGATGCATTAAGTATGCAATCGTAAACTGGGAATAAGTTCCATAGAACTTACTGGCCTTACTTCCTAGGACAGGTACATAATATCGGATATTTCAGATCATTGTTTACTACCAAGTTGCCAATTCCACAAACACAAAGCAATTGTAACCTGTTATTATCTACTTCCCTTCCCCAAGTAAGGTGTTCTAGGATTCTCACCCACTGCTCCTTGAAGAGGAAAAAAGGCATCTTAAAAATTAAGAAGGACATCTTAAAAATTCACAATTTTCAGCTCATATGCGAAACACCCGACATGTACTTAGCAATATCGTCTCCCTCAACCATTGCAATGATTAGTTCAAGCCTCATTATGTCCAACAAGGAGAGGGTTCTCCCATACGATTATTTCCCTAGAAGAATTTGTCATTCTTTCAGATGAAGCACATTTAAGCTAAAAAAGGGACTTTTCCATTTCCTTTATTCAAGGGCATTTTATCACCCAGTCGCAGGACCAACAAGAAAACCGACCACAGGTATGTTTCTCCATTTTTATGGATTTGCAGATCATAGGGTCAAGCAACGCTCTCCCTCTTGGTCTCGCACGCATATCCCCGATGCCCAAGCAAGATGAGCCAGAGACAAGCAAAGCACCGAGCTAAAATGGTTGCATGGAAGGAGAAGCCCGCTCAGCACCCCCATCACTTAAGAGAAAACAGGAATTTTTGGTAAGGGACCAGGAAAAGGTTAAAAAAGCCTCTCAGACGAATAAGAGCCACAGCCCATCAACGCGGAGAGCTGCGGAACCGAATCCGCACTGCAAGCTACACGTATTTGTGTGTGTTTACGGCCAAGCCCGCACCCCCCTCCGATTTCTTAAGGGCCCAAGCGGGCGGGCAACGGGTTAAGGAGCCCCAGTCAAGCCTCAATCGGGCTTTGAAATTCGCCCCAATGCAGCCAAGGCTGCTCCCTAAAAGGCGATTGGAAAAGGGGGCACGGCCACCAGCCGACCGAAACAGACATCCCCGCTCAGCATTTGCAGAGCGATGCGCACCAGCAGGGCGCGCACACAATGAACCACGTTTTGGACACGTTTAGACACAAAAGAAAACAAAACGCAGGCTGGGCAGGGAAGCACCGCCAGCCATCTCTGCCGGCTCTCCCTACCTTCACACTCGCGTCCCGGTGCTCTCGCGTCCCAGACCCCCCCAAACCGCCCCCGCCACGCCAAAAAACCACCTTAAGCCCGTATTATTTTTTCGCAAGGCTCGCCTTTCCACCACCATCCCTTCGGGCAACTCCGGGCAACCCTCGCGACAAATGGAAGCTGCTCTAAACCCGATTCATTTTCCAGGATGATTTATCCATTATTGTGCTTTTCTTGGCATTACCCAAATCAGTACTGAATGCCATCCTTTTCCTCTGTAATGATCACGGCTCGCAGCGCGTAAAGGACACAACGGGCTCACACAGCCTTTAAAATGTTTGCTACGCAGTATGGAATTTTGGGATATCTGGCGGATGGGTAACCATTTTTAATACCCACAGATATTGTCTCAGATTTGAATATTCCTGGAATTCACGTCAACAGACGAATTTTTCTAAAGCCAGGAATAAAACGGTTCGGAAAACTGATTGTGTATTTAATTAACTGCAAGCCACAAGGAAAAAGATAGGGGGAGGGGAGGGATTCCAAGTACGTGTTTCGAGAATCTATCTCAACAACTTAAATATAAACGCGCGTTTTAAGTCACTCCCTTCGCCCCTCGCTGCTACCGCAATGCGAGCGACGAACGCACGCCCACCCGAGCGGACCCCCACCCCGAGCTCCCATTAAAGTAGGAAATCCCCCAATACTCACTTTTTCCATTTGCTGGCCACAGGCAAAACGCGGTCAAGATCACCAGAAGCCCCCCAAATAAGGTCAGGGACCCTCCTCCAGCGCCAGGCTTCATTCCTCTTTTTGGATATTTTTATTTTGGAAACAAAACTGCCTTTGCAAAACAAAAACAAAAAAATCCAACAGCTAAGTCCTCAGTACTTCTCCCCTCCACAGGAAATATTAAAAATAGTGGGGAGGGGATATCTAAGCTTTCTTCAATCGTTCAGAAGGTAGAAAAGCAAAAACGGCTGAAAAGAGAGAAAATACTTGCAGTAAAAATAGGTTGGTTTTTTTTTCCTCCCCCCCTTTTTGGGAGACAAATTTCTGTCCCCTCTGGATGAAACCAAGAGGGGAGGGGGAGTCAAAGCCTGTTTTGGTGCTTGCAAAATAACAAACTCCCCCCCTCTTCTCCGGAGCTACCACCTCTTCCTTCTCCAACTACTACGGGAGGCTGGAGAAAGGTCGGTGTAGCTGCGTTCAGCGTTGCCTGCAGTCATCCAGAAGTAGCAAACATGTAACACGTTGGAGCAAACAGTCCGCATCTTCGACCTCCATCTTTTCTTCGCTTCCCCTCCACCCACCCCAAATAAAAACACCAAGGCTTGTGATATACGTACGTGCGCTTTCCCTATAAAGAAAAAGGAGAATTCCACGGACCGGGGGCGCAAGAGCAGAGAGCGCGCTTCAACGCCAAGATAAGAATAATTAATTTTTTTAAAAAGGTCCAGAGATTCAAAGAGCGGTGAGGTTTCCCAAAAAGGCAGGTTTCATTTTTTTTTAAAAAAGAACTGCAAGAAATCTGAGGTGGCCTTAAAGGGATCTCCCAATATCACCACCCTTTTTTATTTTTTTTTTTTTTTTTTGGCTTGGGAGTTGGAAACAAAATGCGGAATCAAAATGAATGGAGGGAAAGAAGAGGCTTCCCCCTCCCCTTCTCTTCTCCCCCTCCCCTTTTCCCAGGCTCCTTCCAAAAGGGAAGGGAATAAAGAGAGAGGTCCCAACACACGAAGGCGAAAAGGGGCCGAGACGGATTCTCAGCAGGGTTGTCTCTCGCTCACCATCCTTGGACGGCGCCGATGTGCCATTTGCAACGAAAGGGAGAGAAAAACACACACGAGCGAAATCCACGAAAAAGCCCCCCCCCCTTTATTCTTTCTTTGCAAAACGCCCGCTGGTCGCCTTGGCCGCCCGAAAGAAGGAGCAACAGCCGAACGTTCCTCTTCCTTCGCTTCTTTCCCTCCGAGGCCAAGCCCAAGGCAAAACTCCCCAGTTGCGAAGTGGGGGGGAGGAAAGGCGGCTCTTCTCGAGCGCCCAGCGGCGAAGGCGACGCCGCCAGTGCCGGTGGCGGTGCGCGGCTGGGGCTGGATCCGGTCGCTGAAGGTCAAAGCTGGGTAGCGAGCGAGCAAAGAAGCAAACCAATTCAGCCACCCAGCCCTCCGCTGGAGCGCCTTCCCCGGGCTTGGCAAAAATTTGGAGGGGGCGAGAGCGCGCGTTCTTCCTCCGCAGGAATCCTCCGCCTTTTCTCCGCCTCCTCGTTGCAGAGGCTGGCCGAAGCACAAGATCTCCTGCTGTTGCGGAGGCAGCGGATCCCGCAGGGTCTTTCCTTCTGCGGCCTCGTTTGGGGGCTCGGGGGCCGTGCGCGCGCGCGTCCCCTGCCCGGATGCACGTTAATCTAAAGATAGACTTGTTTACATGGTATTATCTAGATTGCTTCTTTGCGCCAAGGCCAAGCCCAGTTGCCAGATCGCCCAACCGCTGCTTCTCCGGATTGGGGTTCGGGGAGCTCCTCTGGGGGAGCGGGGGGGAATCTTCCTGGGGCGGGTGGGCGCACGCGCTGCAGCACGCCTAGCCCCGCACAGCGCGATGGAGAGAAGGAAAACAACCAGGCGAACGAGCTCCCGGGGTCGCGGGCAAGCACGGCGCAGGAAGGAGGAGGAGATTTGCAGCAACAAAAGAGAGAGAAAAGCAAGCCCGAGCGGCGCGCGCGCTCTGTAACCAAAGCAGTCGCCGCGCTTGCAAGGCCCGGGCAGGCGCGCGGTAAGAGCAGGAACCCGGGAATCTCCGGCGCCGGGGATTTGGAGCCTTTTGCTGCGTGGAAGAAGGAGCTCGAGGACTAAGGCGGCGGCGGCGCTTGCTTACAAGCCGGCGAAGAATGAAATGAAAAGCAAGCTATGCACCCCCAAGCAGCAGCGGCACACGCAAACACACAGCCGCCGAAGCTGTGCGAGTCCCCCCCAAAGGGCAACCGCCGTGATGCCATTGCACGCGCGCAGTGCCCCGAGAAGTGTGCCCGATACTCACGTGCTTTGAGCTCGGAAATAGCTCTTGGGTCCCCTGTGGATTGCAAAGGGAAGCGCGCTATCCTATGCGCGTTGCAAAGGAAAATGAGACCTACAAGGGTGGCTGGAGCGTGGTGGGAGCCGAGAGGCTTTTCTCTCTCTCAACGTGCATAGGATTGGGCCCGAGGAGAGTTGCGACCCGGGATTCGTGGGAAGAAATGGGGTAGCGCAGACACCCCGCTGTGCAAGGTTACTCAGAAGTCGGTGCTGCGGGGTTTAAAGCAATTCACTTTCTTGCAAGAGTACGTGAATGCACGAGACCACCTTTCGGTCCCACCCACCATGTTCCCTCCATACATTTTGACCAACAATTTTCATCAGCCCCGACTAGGCTAGCCAATGGACTGGAAAGCTACAAATTAAGATGCAAAACATCCGTAAGGCACCGGTTAGGGGCAGCTGAATTAAATACTGCGTTACTCTGTGTTCCGATATTCAGGACTGCATTCCCACCATCCCTCCACTAGTTATGCTAACCGGGGCTGATGGGAGTTGCGGCGGAAGCCTCCCTGCGTGATTTCTCTGTGTCTGGCTACTCACAGCAAAGAAGCACAGTCAATTTCTTTAAAAAAACAAAAACAAAAAAAAAAACACTCTCTTCAAGCTGGTTTGCACTAGTCCAAATTCTTTCTTCCCCCATAACTAAGGCAGTGATTCTGTGCACTTATTTGTGAGGAAGTCCCAGACATAATTATTTTACATTATTTTTTTAATTAATTGTGTTTTTGTCCATGCTTGAACATCCTGAGAAGGCAAGCTTCGCTAGGGAAGACCATCATGTTAGGGAAAGTTGGAGGAGGAGGAGGAAGAGGAAAACCATCACCAAATATGAGATGGATACATTTAGTAAAGGAAGCCACAGCCTTGGACCTCACAGGAGCTGAGCAGGGCTGTCACGGACAAGACATTTTAGAGGGCACTCGCTCATTCATAGCGTATGTCAGAGACGGTGGCAGCTTGCTGTCCTCTATCATGGAACTCAAAGTGCATGGATGGGGGGGTCCCAGCCAGTCCCTCCTGATGCTGTCTGGACCCAAACTTGCCTAGCTCCAGCAGGTGACCGCATCATGCACCCGCCGATCATGCCCTGTGAGGATGTCTTCCCACAGGTACAAGAACCCTCTTCTCTTCTGCACATGGTTACATTATACATTTGGGGTCTCTCTTACCTTGCTCTGACAGGTACCTGACTTCAGACAGACATGTGTCTCTGAAACATTGCCAGTTATTACATATCTACCCCACCTTTTTTCCTTTCAAGCACTCAGTCTCAAAGCAGCTTACATAATTGCGTCCATATCTGCCCTCCCGCCCCTTGAGATCGGCGGCAGAGGCCCTTCTCCGGGAACCCTCCGTGAAAGATATTAGAGGGTGAGTACCTGGAGGAGGGCCTTCTCTGCGGTGGTGCCCCACCTATGGAATGCGCTCCCCAGAGAGGTCCGCCTGGCACCATCATTATTTGGTTTTTGGCGCCAGGGCAAGACCCTTTTATTTAAACATTTTAATTGTTGATTGTATTTATTGATTTTATATCTGTGCCGAGATGTTTCCAGATTTTTAAGGTAATTGTATGATTGTTTATTTGTTTTGGAAGTCACCCCGAGGCTTTTTGCAAATGGGGTGGCATATAAATGCTCCAAATAAATAAATAAATAAAAATCTCCTCTCAGTCTTATCACAACAACAGCCCTGTGAGGTAGGTTGGGTTGAGAGGCTGTGAGAGTCACCCCATGAGCTCCATGGCTGAATGGGGACTTGAACCCGGATCTCCCAAGTCCCAGCCCTGCATTCTCACCCGCTGCACCGCACCGTCTCTCAGAAACACAAAGCCAGTCCCCCTCCGCCCTGCTCATGAAGTATCACACTGAAAGCTGAGCAAGCTTTCACCTGTTAATGGTACCTCAGGATCTCCCACTCAGACAAGCTGCTCGCTCCAGAGCCTAATAACGCGAACGAGAGGCTGGTCGGGTCTGCTGCTGCATCCCAGACGAGTGGCCGCCATTTCCACATCCCCCCTCTGCACGTGGCAGCAAAAGAACTAGTGTGACAGGAAGGAGCCAGTTTCATTTTGTGCTGCAATAAAGCCTAAAGTTGGCATTACCTGACAAGCGTTGCAAGTCTTGCACCCATAGCTTTGACATTAGGCTGGCCAGCCGGCCTGCCGCTCTCCTCTTAAATGGAGGGCATACATCTGAGCATATTCTGCCTAGAGAATGACCCACAGCTGCTCTTTCCTGTCAAAACACGCATGAGATTGTGCTTTAAGTCATGGTAAAGAAGAAGGGCAGTGGTGGCAGCTAGGGGTGAAGGTGGCTGCAACCATGTTTTGTTGCATTTTATTTATGTTAGCATGTGACATCTGCTGCATGGTTTGGAAGAGAAGCAGAGTGGGAACTTGCAGCAAACCAGGACACACAGAGTCAACAGATGGGGCAAATATCCCTTAAGTGGCCCAAACGGATTGACTTTTTTTAAAAGAGCTGTACTATTATTATAACACCTATAGAGCACTAGAATTTCCCCCTAAAACCACAATGGCCTGGTCTGGATATAACGATGAGCCAAGGTTCTGTTAGCATTACAGTCTTGAAGGCACTTGGATGACCACTGGGATTTGAGCTTCTGCCATTGAACCTGCAACACCCTGTCCACTAGGCAAGAAAAGTGGAATGGTGGCAGCCGATGCCGGAAGGCAGGGTGCTGGAGGAAAGGCCCGTGCGCCATCTTGGCCTCTACCCCCAAGCCACTCGCTATCAGTGTGAAGGATAAGTTCAGCCTTTCCAGCTGGCCTTTGCGCATGGCATGGGAAGGGGTGCCAAGCTGCTTTTCACCTTGGGCAGCAAAATGCCACCAGCAAAAGGCGTAGCATTAGGTGTCACAGGTATACTAACGCTCGCTGCAGGGACGACTCTCCTCAACAGTGCTGTTTTTTAATTGGGTTTTGCTTTGTTTTTTTCACTAAATAATCTCATGCCAATTGGGTAAACAGCCTCCTCGGTGTATCTAAATTAGCTTTACAGACTATTTTTATGATGCACTGTGGAAAGGTGACGTGCTTAAGCCAGGGTCCCCAACCTCTTTGGGTCAGTGGGCGCATTTGGAATTCAAATGCTTCATGATCCTCTGAAAACAGCTGCAGGGATCGCCCAGTCATGAAATGGCTGCCCAGAACAGGCATGGCCAGTCACAAAACCCTAATTTCCCAGAACAGGCAACTGGCATGACCAAAGGAAAAGGAACATGCCCAATAATCAAAGAACAAAGCAGAGAGTAGGATGGAGATCCCAAACAGAAAACCCAAGTAAAGATGGTGCCAGAAGGTAGTACTTCATGCTTTGCATCTCCACATTGCAGACTCCATGCCTAAGCTGTAGGGTGGCCATCTGCCCTGCAGAGGACAGTCCTCTGTTTGAAGGCTTGTTGGAAGTCAGTCTTCGATTTTTAAGGTATCTTCTATTTCAAGCCAGGTTTATAGATAAAAGAATCCATAGGAAGAGAGAATGGGCACTCTGCAGATGTCCATCATTCTTCCAACAGTGGTGCAACGTACTGTACTGTATAATTATTTTGACTTTGCATTCTAATAAATTAGCATATGCAACATTTATGCAAATTTGTAGCCTTTTCTTTGGTAGGCAGGGCATATACAATTCCTCTTTTTTGGCCATCATGACCAACCATTCTGAAAGGGTCAGGAAATAAGCAGAATGGGAATCAATGATCGGTTTATCTTTCATGTATGTTAGATCCTCTCTCTCTCTCTCCCTTCCTGTCCCAAAGTTTAATGCACTGGATGCAAGATTTTGACCTACCACAGAGGTTTCAGGAATACATAGGTTTGCATAATACTGCTCCTTTTGGGCTCAGAAATACTATATCCATAGCAACTGCAACCAGCCAGAAGCAGGAGCAAATACTTTATGCCACATAAAAGGATGCACACAAACACTTGAACACCACTTATATTAATCTGGAAAGGCTAGTGTTTCCTAGTATTCTGCTAAAAAGGATGCTAGAGTCACCACGATGAAAAGGCAGGGAACGCCTGGCGTTTGTGCCACTCAGCATTGCTGAATGACAGGGTGGCAAAGGGCAGAATCCTGTG